CCTGCTTCTCAGTGGTAGATGCTTAGTCCTCGGTGCTTAGTACTCCCATCTGTTAAAGCCGGACCTGTAGCCCCACTCCCACCCTGGGTCTCGGAGCACATCTAAAGGAAACAATCCAATTCTGATGAGACATATCTGAACTGGAATGACACCGGTTACTGCCCTGTAACAATCACTGTTTCAACAATATAAACGGCAAACTTATAACTCAAAACAGATGGACTCAGCAGGTTTCTGAGGTCTCTGAGGTTTAGGGAGCAAAGAAAGGATTCTAATTTTAGGAGTCCCAAGAGGAATTCATGTGAAGAGAAATTAAGATAATGGGCAGATGTTCCCATATACCAAAAACATAATAATTGCAGGTTAATTTCTGTATTAGCAACATAAAAATAATAGGATTATTATATTATCTGGAAGATAGCACCTTCCTTTTACATACATCTATTTCGATTTATGCACTATTTGCAAAATTATTCTCATTTATGCAAAACTTATATTTAGACATACAAATACACATACTTATATATATTACACATACACATATATATATGTACGTGTGTAAAACAAAAATATTAAATGTGACCTTAACCAAATGCATCTTTCTAAATTGAATTGAGCCATTGTGAAGCTTCTAACATATAAAGTAACTTAAGTCAACATGCATTTACATTCTAAAACTTTTCTGAAATTTTATACAAAGTCAGTCAATGTTGAAGTTGTTACTAAAGATCAACTCCTTGGGGGAAATCTAAGGGCAATGGTTTAATATATTTATCAAGGTCCACTTGATTTGAGACACATTTTTTTTTCTATTTCTACAAAGGCAAAAGGAAGGAAAAGAAAAATCCTTTTTTTTTTTCTCTAACAAGGCAAAATCTTTTGTTAAACATGTAATAGAGGTGCTGGAGAGATGGCTCAAAGGTTAACAGCACCAGCTGCTCTTCCAGAGGTCCTGAGTTCAATTTCCAGGCACCACATGGTGGCTCACAACTATCTATAATGAGATCTGGTGCTCTCTTCTGGCCTGCAGGCAAAACACCGTATACATAAAAATAAATAAATAAACAAATAAATATCTTTAAAAAAAGTGATAGATTACACATTTTCTTTAAAAATTTCTGCGGAGGAAAAGCACAGAGTGTTATGATGGGTGCTCACTTAATTCAGTGTGATGAAAATTTGCAAAGGTGTGAGTCTGAGGACTTGTTAGAATGGACTGGTTGTTTAGAGTTATCATTTTTTAATTTGTGTGACGAGAATAAGCCTTGTGTATGTAAATTGTACACAGAAGCATAAAGCTGTTCCATCTGAAATGTATTCTACATATACAATCTGTTTACCAACAAACCTAATATTTAGCTTTCTCAAAGGTTTTAAGGGAAAAATGTATAGCTTTGGATACTGTTGCAATATCAGCATCATCTCTGTTACTATAGTATCGGAAATGGCATTGGATTCTGTAGCATAAAAAAAACACAAAATAAGAATAAAGGATAAAACACGGTGGCAGAAAACATAACTAGATTTAACTTAATAGTGGGAATATTGAAGTTGTTTATAGTGTTTGTCCATGGTTTAAACAGTTCTAGAATAGAAGACCTCTGTCAACATGCCACACACTGACAGGCTGACAGGCTCAGCGCAAGCAAGGTGTCCTGGAGTTACACAGCCAGACTCATGGGCTAATCTTCTTCACCTATCTGGTGTAGCTTCATCTAGCCAGGCAAACTTTTGCGCTTGACTCTCTTTCCATAGTGTGTGTTTCAGGAAGATTAGAAATGGGGTGGCCCACAATGGTTACCGATCTTCTGGAAGCATTTGGGCAGAGCCCAGTGAACCAAAGGTAGAAGTGGGTAGTGCCCCTTATGAGCAAACATATTCGATTCGACCTGTCTGAATAACACCGTTTTCTTTACTGACGGTCGTTGGCTAGTGAAGGTTTTGCAAATTTCAACAGAAATTTTAAGGGTCACTGCCCGTCATTCTCATCTTCCCTCCATGTGGGAAAAGCACCAAAGTCTATCTTCTGCAAGGAGAGGTGGAGGTAAGTTGTTCTTTTATTTTTCTTTAATTTTTTTTTTTACATTTTCAATTCAGTTAACAGTTGAATTAGAATGAAAATTGTGGGAATTTATAACCACATATATGAGATGGAAATATTTTTCTTCTATTTTAAAAATCTCTTAGGTTTAGCTTGCTAAGCTGAGAAGTCTATTGCAAGTTAGAAACTGAGAATATAATGAAAGGATGGGAATCTGTCAATTGTGTGTCTTGGAACTCACTCTGTAGACCAGGCTGGACTCAAACTCAGAGATCCACCTGCCTCTCTCTCCCATGTGCTGGGATTCAAGGCCTGTGCCACCACTGCTTGGCAGTTTTCACCATCTTAATGGTTCTATTCTCAGGCATGTTGCTCAGGTTTGAAAGCAGCTGGGTCTGGCTTAGTGAATTAGTTAATAATCTATGTCATCATTAAGGAAATAATTCTTATAAAAGAAAAGAATCACAAAAAGGCTTTAGGAAAAGAAGAAATATTTATGTTGTATTCCTAAAGTTTCTCGTAAAGTTATCCTAGGCTCCATGCCATGTGAATCGCGATAGCAGCAGAACAGAATTTTAGGCGCAATCTGATGGTGATTACATACATCTACCGAACTATGGATGATGCTCATGGGAAGTTGAAACTTCATTCTGTTAAAAACCACAAGGCTGAACTGGCATCCTGAGCTACTAGATAGCTGCCACACTTTCCCAGCAAGGAGAGAGAAACTGCGTTGGGGACAGTGACTTGTCTCCACAGTTCATGGTTTACTAAAAGCTTTTAACCCATACTCCTGAGGTAAGAAAATTCTCTTATAGTTTTCAAAAAGTATTGCTGAAATACCACAAAAACATTATGCTAACCAAGTAAATAAAAAGTAGCTTTTGGCTACTTAATGAGAAAATTACTTATTTTCATTAATTTTGCCTCAATTTCTGACCTACTTTTTACTCTTCCCTCAATGTAGTGTCTCATTCTTACTGATAGGACATTGGAGACTTAGAATTCTGGTGTTGGCCTCTGGAACAGATTAGTGTTGGGAAATTAACCTGTAATGGCTTACAAATGTTAGGCCCTAATCATGTAAACTAGTTCATCTTGTGTAGTGAATGATTTGGGGTTCAGTTAGTCCTGGCAACGTTTGTAGACACATTTTGTGCATTCGAGAGGTGAACATCTAAAAAGACATGCACTTGAGCTTCTGAGCTGTGTTTTGGGTAAAGTTCTATGCAGCCAGAAGAGTTGTGCTTGCACGAATTTGGGCTCAAATGTCAGTGAGCTCTTGGGGACACTGTGCAAGCTAGAAGTACCAGAATGGAGAGATCTGGCTAAATGCGGTGTATTCTTTGAAACAGTAAGACTTTCTACCAAAATCCACTTTGGCAATCAAGGATAAAGAAAGCCTGCTTAGGAACATTTATGGAAAGCATCTTAGAGAATTTGATTCATAAACTTTGGATGTAGAATATATATCAACTAGTACAAATGGGCACGCATGCGCTCACACACTTATTTGCAGAAACACTTTCTAATTAGCATTTAAATATTTACATAATAAAAGCTACTGTCACTTAGTCCCTTATGAGGTGGTAGCATCTACTCTAACAACTTATATTAGCTGATGCAAAATCATTTTAATACTTTAAGTCTGTGCTACTTACTCAATGTCCAGAACAAGCTGAGTCAGGGGCTGCCCGCAGAGAGGAAGCAAAGGAGAGGGCCCCCCTCAGACAGCCTGAGTGGGCAGCTGGGGAGCTATTCCTCTCTGCCTTCTCCTGCTGTTCCTTTCTTTCCTGTGCATCCGGTGTTCTCGAATGCCAAGCACAGTTTGGGCTCCAAGTAGTATTTATCGCTCAATAGCTAACAGGATCTGTGACTTTTTCCTCTTGGTTCAGGGTTCCACGGACTTGTGAAGGAGTGTGTGCTGGTGATCTTTGCAAACAGGATGTAATATGGGAGGCTAGGCGTACAGAGAGAAGAATGAAGAGAAAAGAGCCATCTACTACTTCCTAACCATTATTTATGGCATGCACATCCATATTTGGTATCCTGTGCCACAAATGGCATGGGGTACGTCTGAAAACACCTTCACAGACGGTATCCTCTGGTCAGGGTAATGACAAGCAGGAGTATGAGGTTAGAAGCAGTTACCGGACCAGAATTGATATTTTAAACATGTTTAAAAACATCTGCTTCGAGAGACAGAAGCAAGCAGATTCTCAGAGAGAATGATCCTCCTGAGAGGGATAAGGTGTCTGAAACAGATAAGAACAATTGCTGGGGCTTAGTGCACGTGGATGCTTTGCATTTCAGTTGTCAACACTCCATTGTCTTGTTAAGTAAGAAGATTTATAGCATTAACAATCCTTCTGGAGAGTGGTCCTTGAAGGTGAGGTTGTCTGGAACACTAGAAGTTAATCTCTAATATATGTGTGACAAATCTCACAAGTCCAGCTACTAGCAGTTAAGGACTGATTATTTGAGTTGTGAAGGGGGTGTTTTTATTTTTGGCCTTTTGTCTCTGTAATTAATATTTTTACAAATGTAGACAGATGCCTCCCATATCAGGACAAGGCTGATGACCTCCGTTGAGATAGGACTCTTCCCCGAATTAAACAGAAAAACTTGTTGACAACCTAAAGACCAGTCTCAAGTAAAACGACAAAGAACACCTCTAAATACACGCTAGAAAATGGAAGACCGGTCTCCTTGTTAAAAGACGCGCGGAAAAATAACCCTAAACCCCTACCAGCCTGCAGGCAAACCCTACTGAGCTACGGTTTACCTCTCCAGCCAGAGTCCCTTCCTTGCCCCTGGGCCCACTTTCACTTTCCAGGCCTCTAGGACACCTTTCTCAACCTCTAGCCCACGTCTCTAACCTCAGATTCCTCTTTCCCGGACTTCCGAATTTTTGTGTCCTGCGAGGGCCACAGATCCTCTTAGGACAGATAGAGCTTACCGTCGTTAAGCAGCAAATCCTGGAACCCGCAGAGGCGCTGCTCTCCTGACCCCTCTGTGAAAAGCAAGGGTGCTGCACTCCACTAAAGGGGGGGGGGGGGAGAAAAGCTCCCTGAAGTGACTCAGCTGCGGGTGCCTAAGGTTTTGTTTTCCTGAGTTTTGCGTATAAAATGATTTCCTTTCCCCACCGGAAAGTTACGCCCCTGTACTCTAGGTAAAGTTCAACCAAACAGAGCTGAGCTCTGGGGCCCTTACTGCCCCTCCCGCTCCTAGCTCTGGGCTAGAAGTGATCTGGTCTGTGCACTTTTCTGAAACTCTAAGAGAACTCATGGAATTTACTTTACTCTGACCTCCACTGCTTTCTTCAGACTCTGGGACTCAGGAATGCTTTCGCTACTTCTCTGTTTAGATTTGCTTTGCTTAGTTTATTTGTCTGGGGATGGGAGAGTTTGAGTATTTATCCCAGAAGCCCTCAAATCCCCAAGTTCCCCAGAGTACTTGTAGGGGCCACCATAACCAAACAATTCTGTTTTTCTAAAGAATTGGTGTTTTTGTCATTGAAGAACCCAGTAATATGAAGAAGTGTACCGTTTTACCCAATCCTCATATTTCCCACTGATAGCTGCTTTCACTCTGCCTTGCATTCTCTCAGATAAGGAAAAGACAACGCAAACATCTTGAATTAACACCCTGTAATGAGAGACTGTAAACCCCAACTCTTGGAATGCACTCCCCGAAGGGGTCGCACATCCACAGAGCTGCACTGTCCTAGGAGCCCCTCTTACCCTAGGTCATAAGTCTCAACTCCAGGAACCATACTGCCCAGAGGCTGAAAATCCTGCACCCCTACACATGGCCCTTCTCTGTGAAAGGATATTCGATGCCCCTTCTTGTGGTCCTGGCTAATCAGGTTTTGTTCCCCACGGTGCTTGCTTTTTTTTTTTTTTTTTTTTTTTTTTTTTAAATAAAGTTGCTTCTGGTTTATATGAAAGACTCCTGGAGTGAGGAGACTTTCACTCAAGTCTAGGGATAACACAACCCCCCAGGAACTCACGAGAGACTGTCCTTGCTACAGTCACACGAGGTTTATTGATAGGACATAAACCAGTGCACTGGGGCCAAAACTCATTTACCACACACAGGGGTAGAGGGTTCCACCCTGAGTAGCTGGGAGAAGGGGTACTTAAGGGAAGAAACCATAACCCAATAACCCAAAGGGGATAGGGAGGGCGTCATTGGAAAATTCTGAAAATACTAGTGATAATCACAAGGGGTAACTCCCTGTTTCTCAAGATTGTAATCTAACTTTATGGTCAGCTAGTTCCTGGATTAGAGTCACTGAACCAGCTAACCTAGATTTTTAGTTCTTTCTCTCTGGTAGATTTTTTTTGGCGCTACTCTTTCTGCTAGAGGGGTCTGAATTTATCCAGGTTTTTCATATAGACTTTGGTGATCTGCTCCCTGTCATTTGCACATTTCCAGGACCCAACAGTCATAATCACGAGAAAGCTGTTGTTGGGATGAATGGGTCTCTCTGACATGGAGTCTCCCCATAATTGTAATGGGTCTGGAGTCACTCAAAGATAGATTCAACATGACCATGAATTCATTTTAATAAGAGGAGGATTTATTAAATGCTGGTGTTGGATACTCTTGGCGACAGGATTATAGCTTCTAGTCATATCAACCTAGTCCAAAACCACAAGATTACATGTATTTTGTCTACTTGTAGGCAGAGTCCAATTTTAACATAGTACGTATTGCAGTTGTCCTAGTCTTTGAGCAAAGTAAGTAAGTTTGATTACAAGGGCAGAAATAGTTCAGACTTACTGTTGAGTCTCAAACACAGGACAAAGCTGAGATTCTATTACCATATCAAAGCAGACGCTGGCCATTAGGATCTTTCTTCATCCCTCATCTCTCAGGGTATAACTGACATACTCCTTAAACTTCTCCAGACGGTTATCTGAGCTGCTCTTCCCTATATAATCCAACCATTTTTGTTACCTGGTCCATTCTTTGGTCTACCCTTTACCTCTTGGCTAGTCTCTTAGCCCAGGCTGCCCCTCTTGGTTGGCAGCCCCTATATCCTCCCCTTTCTCTTCACTTGGCCCAGCTCAGCCTAGCCCTGTTCACTACGAACTCTTTCAGATGTCTCTGCCTCTGGCTGGTGCTTCCCCTCTTATCTATAAAAAACCTTCTCCAACATATCAAGGAGCAGCCAGAACATTTTTATTTCTTTTTATTCACGTATGACCTCCTATCTTGCTAGAACAGCAAAATTTACTGCTGAATGGGGGTGGGGGGAACTAGACTGCAAAGGTACAGCCTGTACAAGCTAGGGACTTACATGCTAGAGGCATTTTTTTTTTTACTTGTTTGGTGTTTTAACCATAGTAAGTCTAAACTTTAAATGTAACTGTTTACCATCACAGTTCTTGTTAAGTCCACTAAGTAATTGTGGGCTGTTTTTCCTATTTCCTTTTACTCCTCCCCATAGAAAATGACTACAGAATTCTTTTAATTTCTAAACAGATAAAAATTCTAGAGAGGGGCTCCTAGTTAGAGTCCCTGACTGGCTCACAGAGGGAGCAAGGTCAATGAGTACATAATAGAGGTGGCAAACTTCCAAAGGGCTATTTTCTTTCTCACCCGCCTGACCCAAAACAAAATCCTGGCAGCTTAAAACAAGGGACTGGGGGCCATTTTCTCTTATTGTGAGAGCCAAAGTTACATTTTGAGTTTTAATTGCTTTGCCTTAGAGATCGTGAAACAAAAATCCCTCTGATCAGAGAGCCCAAGGACAGACATTGCCTGAAATGCAAGAGGCTGTAGGTCAAGGGTGGTAATAAGTCATGCGTTTCTACTCCCTAAACAAGTTTGTTTGACCCGTCTGCACTGGCTGTGCTTGATCACACATGGGCGGGAGGTTTACAGGCAGGAAATATCCAGGCTGTACGCCTGCCCCTGATTGAACCTGATAGGACATACTTAAGCCTCTACAAACTGTGACTTGAGCCACTTTTCTGGAAAACCAGAGATGAACATGGCCAGAATTCATCCACCTGGCCAGTATTTAATTAATACTTGCTTCAAATTTGGCTTTAAATTGTGGTAGTGGTCCTAGTCTCGAATGGTGGGATTTAACACTATCCTTAGGCCCCCTGCTTATGAACTTGCTTAACAAGTTCAAAGCCTAAGCAGAACTTGTTTACTCAGCAGTTGTGGGCCAGTCCTTCTTCCTGTCTTTCTTCAAACTGACAAACCCTTAATTAGGAAAGAAGGACTCTTTAGAGACTTAAAACACCTAGGCCTTGGGAGGAGAGTGGGTTTTTGACTTCCTGAGTTCCCCCCTCTCCATTTTGGAGTATCTTTTCCTCCTTATGTCTGCTAGAACTCTGTGTTTTCCTTACCCCCAATAACCAGCAGCCTTTTCTCAAAGGCTGATTCTGCCTGCTGTGCTTGAGTTTTCTCTCTGGCTACCTGTCTGTTTAGTTTTTTAACTGACATTGAAAATGAACCCCATGAAGGTGCCTAGCTGGTGACACTAGTCTGTAGCAATGGGACAGATTTTACTCCATAAAGAGTAAGTCATACCCTTAACTAAATTGAGAGATCACATGTCATTTGGAAATGAAAGCCATGCCAAGGATATAGTGGAATTGGTAGAGGGCACAGTGTAACGGTCTGTCCTGTCCCTTTAAGAGACAAGCCCTGCCCATTCCTTTCCCTGTCCACCAAGGCAAGTGGATCTTCTGCTTCCAGCCTGAGCTTTCCCCCCCCATCTCTTTCCTGAAAAGGTAGCTCCTCCTCTTTCCCCCCACTTTTCTCTCTCTGCCTTTCTCTGCTCTCCCAGCTTCTCTCCTTCCCTTTTCCCCCTCCATAATCCACTAAATAAATACCCACTTTCTCTGCATGGCATGTCTATCTGTGTCAGTCTCTCACCTGCCACATCTCCCTCCACATGAAACTGGTCTCTTACACACCTGGGACCCCCAGAGACCTCAGGTGGTGGGACCAGCTGCCCCTTATGGTCTCCCACCCATTGCTGCCCTAAACCACCTGCAGTGGCCCACTGCTGCCTCTGGGAGAACTGCACCACAGTCTTTTACCTTTGCACATAGCTCTCCAAAAGGCTCCAAGTTCCACCCTCAACACCCCAGATGTTAGGAATATTTCCTAATGCGAGCTCTCTGCTGACACAAAAATTCCCAATCAAGCCAAATCAAAACTGTGAGGAGCCATTTCCCCCCTAAAAATCATTTCAGGAACCATCACCCTGGGGAGTCTGCAGAGAACCCCACACCCATAATTATGTTAAGAATCGTTCTGTTGACAGAACCTGCCCCACACCCAATTAGCTGTTATCTGTTAGCGGAACCCGCCTCACATTCCAGCTATCCAGGGAACTAGGTGTGGCAACTCTTGACTTCTTGGCCTACCTGACTGAACGTAACCTCCTGGCCTACGTGACCTGGACCACGTGACAAGAGTCCAGGCCCCTATGCCCCCCCCCATTCCTTACCCTATATAAACTGTAACCCATCCCTAATAAACGGAGGCTGTGACAAACAGCATGGCCTCCTCCTTGTTTCCTAGCCCATTTCTCCGTGACCCTGGAATAACTGATTGCAGGGTGGGTTACAACCCCTAGACTGAGTAACCCACTCAAACGCAATCGACACAAAACAAGCCGAATTAAGAAATATTCAGGTTTAATGGGAGATCTGTGCTCTTGGGTGTCCCCAAGGGGGAACCTGAAAGCTGCAGAAATGCGACCCCCCCCCCCCCGCTCCCGCCAAGGAAGAAAGGGAGACCACGTGTTCCTCTTTTGGGGAATCACTTATATACCCTGGGGAGTGTTCCTGACCCTATCCCCAGGGGGTCAGGACCTGGTCTGGAATTTGGAGTCCAGATCAGGCCTGGGGGCTGGGATAGATGCCAGGGGCAGAAGCCTACGCTCCCAACCTGACATCAGAGATGGGGAAAACTAAGCGAGGGTGTAGTGAAACCATGCAACTAGATTACTCTGTGGGTAGGTAAAAGATTTATAGAAAAATCAAACTGCTGGATCTGTCTCTGGGTAATTAGAACTGCAAATGGCAGAAAGAACCTTGCAGTTAAAGGACACAGGTAGCAGCAGGTGGAGGGAAGCATGAGACACAGAACAGCCTGGGAATTAGAGCAGGGCAGAGGGAAAAGAGAACTCTAACAGCCTAGGAGCGAGATGGGGACTTTGATCATTTGCAGGATCCTTTGGGCTAATCAGGAACTACAGGATCATTGAGGAGGTGGATTGTCGTGAGCCACCTTTTTGAGGTGACTCCTGCCGCAATCCTAGCCACAGCGGGTTTGTACGTTCCAGGGTAGGGGGCATGAGGATTAGAAATGTTAGATATGAAGAACAGAGATAAGAAAGAAACACAGAGACACAGGATAGTACCAGAAAGGCAACCCAGCACATACTGAATGCTGAATTTTTAGTTCTGAGTTCGTCCATATACTTCTATGTCCCAATAGAGAAGGAGGGAAAAGAAGGCAAAAGACTGCTTTAACAGGTGACAAAGGACAACCAGAACAGTTCCTTGCTCCAATCCTGAGACATCAAGCCATTAATTCCAAAGTAAAGTATTTGATGTCTGGAGCAGTGAGCCCACCTTAGACTAAATGTAGGCAGCCTCTCCCTAAGTCAAACCTCCTATTTCAAAAGAAGGAGCAGAAGTATTCTCTGACCTTTGGTCAGGGTGAGACAGATCTATCTCTGTAGGCCATCTTAATGTCCAAAACACCAAGTAACCACACCCTAGGTCAGGATCTCTTGTTTTGTAGCCACACCTATTGTTAACAACTTTGAAATAGAAAATAAATAAACAAACAAAGAAAAAAAAAACCTCCTCAGATTCTATGACCTTCAGACAAGGTGAAATAGCCTCACCTCTGTGTGTGCCCCCACAGGGAAATAATTGCTTTTCCTGTCACGATTTCTCAGGAACGAGGCCTTTAGGTTTCTGTGTACCCCTAGCAATCCGACTGTTAACTGGGTCAGAGTCCAGCCTAAGCTGGCTCCATCCACACTGTCATTTAGAACGTCTCCAGCAGCACTGCCATTTGTAGGTCCACTTTGGACCTAACAAAAACAAGTTAAAATAGATCTATACGTTTTTATTTGGGGCATTTGACTATTATTGTAATCCATAACTGTTGAGGTTTATATATGTTCTATTTATTGAACATCTGAGTAGTAACCAATTTTTCCTAGAAATATTAGAATATAGGAGCTAAACATTCTATGAGAAAATATTTTCAACATTGTGCCACTATGAATTTTTTTTAAGTCCTTATAATGAGTCTTCCTTGGGCAGAAAATTGTGACTTCCTTTATTCATTGGAAGCCATTTCTGGGTTGTCAATAAAAGTCTTATCAGGTGTGGTGTGGTGGCACAAGCCTTTAATCCCAGCACTCAGGGAGCAAAAGCAGAAGAATCTCTGTGATTTCAAAGAGCTTGATCTATATAGCAAGTTCTAGAATAGCAAGGGCTACATTATGAGACCTTGTCCCCAAAAGGCACAAAGGGCACATATATGTATGTATATATACATACATACATATATATACACACACATATATACACACATACATATATGGTATTAATATTATATATTGAACTCTATTATCACTATGTAATGAAAATATTATTGGTAGAAAAGTATATAAATAGAATTACATAACTAAGCTGAATTTCTAAAGAGGGAAAGAAAACAGTTATTGTTTCCTTAATAATAACTATACTGAGTAATAGTTAATTCTAAGGTAAAGGAAACAGAAACTTTTTAAGGCTTTAAATAGTATTTATAACATCAAGTCTTTTGTATAAATTATAATTACATTTAATATGTAATTTTCATCTTAAATTACAATAACATTTAAGTTTTTATAAAATACAAAATAAATCAAAGATTGTAAGTCAAAGCATTTTTCTTAGACAATCTCATTTCTATGTGTAAACATTCATATATTTTCTCACTAATTCACAGTGTACACTTTAAGGATGTATAAAAACAAATAAATGACAAAAGTATAGAAAATAAACTATAATTCGAAAGCACAATTGTACAACAGAAGTATAGGCATCATAGGTTAATCGACACAGTTATTTCAATAAAGAAAAAAAGCCATGTGTGTTCTTTAGATAGTATCCACCAGAATGAAGTCCTTAAATCTCTTGAGGAATCTCAAGAAACTACTGCCACACTCCTGCTCTTTGGTCCTCATTTCCAGTTTTTTCAAAAAACATGAAATCCTGAATAAGACAAAAAAAAAAAAAAAAAAGAAAGAAAGAAAAGAGTTTTTAACAACCAGAGAACAATCCCCACATACAAAGGGAAGGTATAAAAACTCAGCAGCATCAGAACAGTGGGAAAATACAGCCATGCCAGCTCTGCCTTCCCCTCTCCCTCTCAATTGCAATCATTTCACCCCTTCTGCCTTTGCTCTGCTCCAGACCAGCTTCATTAATGTCCTGATGAATTCTCCAGACACCATTTTTTCATAACTCGCCCCACACACACACCGAATTATTTTTTCTTGCTCCCTCAACTTTTGCTAGTCCTTTCTAGGAATGGAATGTCTCTAGCAACATGAGTTCCAGGTTCAGCATTTGACCTGGGGCTGCTGCAGCATCTCAGCAGGAGGGGTGCAGCTCACTGGCCCTGGGTCAGCAGCTCTCTCCTGAACAGGCTCACTGTCTCCCCTGACCGTTTTGTCCTGTGCGGGTCTAACCTGACATTTCCTCCATGAGTCCTATCAAATCATGGAGACTTTATTTCTTGGATCTCTTTTATTTTCCTTTCCCCTTCTAGCCATTTGCTAATCGCTTGGCTCGAACAACTGCAGTGCCACTTCCTCTCACGTCACCAGTATTTCACACAGTTACCAGGATTTATCTTTGTAAGGCTGGATTTCCAACAAGTTTGCCTAATTTTAAATGAACAAGTTAATTAAATTCTTCATGACCTTGTCTGTGCCCCCCCCCAAAAAAAAGCTGCCATTTTCCCCCAAAGCACCAATTTTGAATCTTAGAATAACTCTAAGCCCTGAGACCTCTGTCTAATGGGCAAACAGTCTCCTCAGTCAACTGTGCTAGAGTGTGCCCAGTGTCATCTTAAATGGAATTTCAGACCAAGTTGAATGGTGAGTACTGATATAAAAACTTGTTCATTTCATAGGCCATTTTGGAATACAAAAATTTGGTGAGTGATTTTGGAATGATGCTTAGAAAGCCACCAATAAAGAGGACCAGTGGGAACAGACTTACGATGAGGAAACACGCTCCAAGCATCACAGCCTTCATCTTCACATCAAGGTCTAGTGGGAACTGAATCCCAAAGTTATCTGCGTCTGTGAAGGCCTCTCTCACTAAACCAGACCACTGCTTAGAAATTTTGCCAACTACAGATTCTTCATCTAGAGATTTGAGCTGCAGAGCAAAAATAAAAGTCATAAGCATGTACAAAAACTAAACAGCAGACATGCTTCCAAAGTTGCGATTCAATAAAACAAATATTGCGTTAAATTATATAAGCTGTAGGTCCTTATAACTACCAATTGTATACTGATAAAACTAACAGACAATTGGAACAGACAATTCAAATTCTTACACTTAAGGCAAAACAAATTTCAATAGAAAAACCCTTTAATACCTCACTGATACACTGTCTAGATTATTTCTATTATTGGGGAAATAATAGAACTGCTGTTCAAATGCCACTTCAAGAAGCTTTGCTTTCTTGTAGGCTGGATAGTTTAAATTGGGTAGAGGCTCACTGCCTCCCGTGGGTGGTACGCAGTGCAGGGCATGAGACGAAAAAGCCAAGAAAGATTAGCTGTGAGTGGAAGGGACCAGTGAGAAGCTCTAGGGAAGGCTCCCAGGGCAAAGGTGGGGTAGGACTTGATAACAAGTGGGGAGTAAAAAATTGCAAGAAGTGTGTGGAATCAGATTTCCAGTGTGAAAAAGGTTCTGATTTGGGGGCTCTGTTGGAGGAAAGCCCAGGGCCAAATTTACAGAAGAATGGGTAGGACACAAACTAAAGCAACTCCACAGAGGGCACGTGGATGCTCACCAAAATATATACACACAGGCTTGAGTCAAAGCAGGAGGAGATATGTCTTTTCCAAACCTACAAAATGTATCAAAGAAGGGAGCAGCCTCCTTTAAATCCCTTGCCTCAGACAGAATCTACCAAGCAAACATGGGGACATTCAGAGGCAGTCAACATCGTGGTGTGGCTGGAGGAGGATGGCACCTTACATGCTCTGATATTTATCTCTAACATGAATGAAAAGTCATAAACCATTGCTCATAGAGTAGTTCTTTCATTCCACATCCACACTGGGCAGAGTGCACTTTCTCTTCCTTGATAACTAGGTTTTCTCCTACGTCTAATTTGAGGACAGGGAGTGGCAGATGACTTGAGAGTTTGCCAAGGCTAACTTGCTTGGCCTTGATGAGCATCCAATGAGCAGTATCACCCACTGAGCTGCTGTGGGTACAGTTTTGGGACACACTTTCCTTGAGCAGATGGGAGGTCACTTCCTGTTCCACGTGAGAGCCATCGACATGAGCTTCCATCAATGCACAGAAACTCGGATGGACAAAAGGCCATGATGTGAGCATGGTGATATCAGTTTGAAGTCATGAACCATTAGAGTTGTATCAGATATGACACGGTGATAAGCTGCTCTAAAGCAAATGCTCTTTTGTAACCTCTTAGTACTCCACGAACAATAGCTGTATAGTCAGGCATAGGGCGACAGAAACCAAGACTGACAATACTGGAGTTACAAACCAGTAATTAGCAAGTGCAATGATATGGGAGTGTCATATATCAATCTGTTGATTTCATTGGTTAAGTAATAAACACACTGATGGAGGAAGGTAATTGGTTAATTATAATAAACCAACTGCTTGGCCTCATAGCTTAGAACATAGGTGGGTGGAATAAACAGAATAGGATGCTGGGCGGAAGAGGAAGTGAGGTCAGACTCTGCTCTGCTCCCAGAGACTCGACAGCTCTGCGCTCTGGAGCAGAGACGCCATGCTCAGCTCTCCCAGGCAACTCCAACCCAGAATGGACATAGGCTAGAATCTTCCCGGTAAGCGCACCTTGGGGTGCTTACACACATCATTAGAAATGGGCTAGTCCAGGTGCGAGAGTTAGCCTAGAAGAGGCTAGAGAGAAATGGGTCAAGCAGTTAAATGAATACAGTTGGTGGGGTGTTATTTTGGGCATGAGCTAGCCAAGCGGCCGGGGTGTTGGGGACGCAGCCCCGCCGCTCATATTTCAACAGTGCAAAATGATTTTTACCATTCATACATTCCTGTTATAGTGTGTATTGTATAAATCAAGAAAACTAAATGTTTTAAAAGAAACATTAGTAAAATAGAAAACTATGATAATATCCCATGTCCCTCTCAAAAGATCTTGTTCTCTATTAATCCTTCCCTTAATGAAGTAGTGAGATGAAATGAAATAAAAGCTGCAGAGGTCATATGACTGCTTTAGAATAATGGTTTCTTAACCTGTGGGTCTTGATCCCTACGGAAGTACAATGTCACAGGGGTTTTATATCAGATATCCTGTATATCATATATTATAGTACAATTCATAACAGTAGCAAAATTACAGTTATGAAGTAGCAACAAAATAATTTTATGGTTGGGGTCAGCACAATGCGAGGAACTGTATTAAAGGGTAGCAGCGTCAGGAAGGTTGAGAACCACTGGGCTTATGTATCAAGGCTCCTTGGTCATCCGTGAGAGAGCAGAAGAGTGGGTGTCTGACTGAGGTTTTAATGCTTCATGGAAGACCTTGTGGAGGGCATGCAGGAAGATGGAACACATCCAGGCAGGAAAGAGCAGGACAGCCTGAGGGTAGTTCACTCTACTGGAAATGGGGCGTAATTTACACCTTATAAATATTATTTCTGGGACCTCCCATTTGATATTTCCGGAACCACTGTTGACTACAGGCAGCCGAACCTGTGAAAAGTAAAACCTTGAAAAGATAAAAACTTTTAAACTAATCACATTGAAACTGTCACTAATAACGCATTAATCTACATTTTTGGTTTTTAGCATCCATGTAAGAAGGTGGCATAGGGAAAGTGCACCCTGCATTCTTGGTCAGAACTCTAAAAATCAAAAGTGCACACTTTCCATAGAACAGCAGAACAAGGGAAAAAGAAAGAGCCTAGGAAACCCACTTTGTTGGCTTGGCTGCTCTTCTATTTAAAAAGTGTGACACAAAGTATAGAGATACAGAATTTAGTGTGTTTGTGTGTGTATACTGTGTGTGTAGCTGTTCTATGTATGTGCACATCAGCATGCATTTGTGTGGAAGCCACATCTTTAGACACAGGGTTTACTGCTTGCAATCTTATTTTTGAGCCTGAGTCTTCAACTGCTGATGCAGCTCAGCAGCAAGCCCCAGGAGTCTTTTGTCTCCATCTCCCCAGCAGTGGAACATAGGCATGTGCCTCTATGCCATGCTTTGCACTCAGATGCTGCAGATCCAAACACAGAATATTACACCTGTACAGCAAGCACCTGGTCAACTGGGCTATCTCCTCACCAAAACATACAAAGATTTTAAATGGTAGATTTTTTTTATTACTTTTCTTTCCTTCTTTTTTGCCCCCACTCTCTGCTTTTTATCTACACAGACCTTTAATCAGAGTAACCGTTAATCATTAATCAGATGAGCACACATCAGTTCCCACTATTTAGGTAATGCAGTAGGAACATCCTATAGGAATATATTCTTTTCATGTCAGGAAAGCACATCCTAGGAACATTGTGATATTTCTTACCTCAAAGTCAATGTCTGAACAGCAGGTGCACACGACACATGGACCAACAATTTTGAGAACATCCTCCTTCTTCTCATTTTGAAGAGTGAACTTTGGCAGACAAGGGTGCCAGTTCTGAGTCACATAACCTACGGGCACACCAGGAGGAGCTTGGATTTCTATCTACAAAAACAAGAGTGCATGCTGAATGGAGCCATAGCCATACCACACAGGGTTAATGGATTCTGGAAAACTCTGTTGCTCTCCTCTCATTTGATATGGAAACTCCACACTGACCTCCTGGAGGCAGCAGGGAAAGCAGCAGCTACTGCATCTCAGGGGTCTCTCCAGAGTCATGACCTCTTGGCCCAGATTGTCCAGGATCCTCAAGGTGAAAGGTCTAGATGGTCCACAGCAGTTCCGAGTGCAGCAGTCAGTATCTTCCACAGCAAAATAAACTCTCTGCCCGAGGCTGTTCTTGATTTCATATTTGTTATTTGTTTCAAAGCCTGTTAAGACTGAAAGCACACAGGGGAAGTCCCATTCACCACTTTGTTGGGAACAGCGACTCTCTCCTAGCAATGGGAAGGGTGCCCGAGATTGCAGGAGCAGCAGGAAGTGAGACACAAGCAGTGGAGAGATGCTCTGGACCAGAACACTTAGGACATCGCAGTAGGAAAGGAGAAGAACATTAAGGTAAGAAGGAAAGACGGAAGACATCCGTATGCGAGACTTCCTCAGGGATGAAGCTGCATGTCCACCTCCATGGACTGTATCACAAAGGAGCTTCAGTATCTGTGAGGTGCAGTGCTGAGGGGGAAGGTGGGGCTAAATGTGTGCATAAACGCCCAGTCATCTCTTTTGGAAGAGTTTAGCTTTAGGGATTACAGAGTGATTGCTATGTTTATAGTCTATGAATTGAATCCATGGTTCGTGGTATATATACATACTTTTCCCTGCCATTTGAACAAAAGCAACGAGAAGGATTCTTCTAAAAGCACAGCTGTGAAAAAGGAGAGTGAAAACCAAAGTGAATCTGCAAAGGACATTGGGCCAGGGAATAAATAATGTTTAGCTCAGAAATAAATTCAAACTGGAAAGGAGGTGTTAGATAAGAGGCATGGTGCTTAGTAGCCACCCCTTCAATGCACAGCCTACAAAGGTTATGCTATCACGGGCGAACAGAGTGATGCTAAGTCCTCCCACCCACAGAGCTTCAAGTGATGGGCCTTGCTGTTCTAACTCTCACACTGGGATCTTCTCTTTCTGTCCAGCTAGGAAGAGAGAATAGATGTCCTTCCTTGTTCATAGCCCTCTGATCCTAGAGTCACGGTTCATTAGAAATATGTCCAGAACCACAAGTAATTATTTAAAATTTGTAGAAGCTCAAATACCATATGCTATCTATGTGCAAGGACTTTTGGGCATCTGGAGATGACCTTTGTCATGGTGAACTCATTGAAGTGTCTTTGGTGGGGCTGAGACAGTCCCTGAACCCTGCATTCACGGGAATTTCTCTCAACACTTGGCTGTCACTCAACTGATTTATCACAATCAATTATCATCCTATCTATGGCTATTTTAATATCTTAATCTCAGAAGTCTTGAGCTTGGCCATGAAATTTAAAATTTTTTTGCAGCCTCTAATTTTCCTTGTGATTACTAAAAAAGTAAAAATTTAAACAGTCAAAAGTTTTATGTTTATATCATTTTTGTATACTTAGATTTGAATACAGAAATGTCAGTAATGTGTGATGTACACTAAAGATGTAAATTATGAGTAATTTCATTATCTAAGTATTACAAAGAATATGAAAAATTAAATAAAATGTTATTTTTGTAAAAATAAGAAAATTAAGTACATCCTGTTTTTAAAAGACCTAAACACTGAAAACTAATGTGCTTTAGAATTAGTATCTTAAAGCTTATAAATCTATGAGGATCTGTATTAAAGGGTCAGAGCACTAGGAAGGTGGAGAACCACTGCAAGACAGGCATCTGTAAGTTCCTGGCTGAACCTCCCACAGAAGACTGCTCTAGGGAAAGCGACCGGCAGGCCAGTAACTGTATGAACTGCTTTTACTTCCAGAGACACCATCATTACATGGCATACGTACCTTCCAGAAGTTCAATTTGCTGATGAACCAGAATCTGATCTATCTGTTACAGAGAAGAGAGGATATGTGCCTGAAATTAGTTATCAATGTTTCATATTTGTATTGTTTTTCATTTAAAAGATAATATTTTTAAAATTTTCAAAATGCTTGTGGAGATTCTTTACTATAACATTTTAGTCCAATACATCTGATTTATAACAAGTTTCTGTATGTATAAAACATCTTTCTTTCTAAAAGTTTCTTTTTTTTTTTTTTTTTTTTTTTTTTTTTTTTTTTTTTTTTTTTTTTTTTTTTTTTTGTTTTTTTGAGACAGGGTTTCTTTGTGGCTTTGGAGCCTGTCCTGGAACTAGCTCTGTAGGCCAGGCTGATCTCGAACTCACAGAGATCCACCTGCCTCTGCCTCCTGAGTGCTGGGATTAAAAGTTTCTCAAGGAATATTTATAACATTTTAATTTATTTATAACTTCTGTTTTACAAGATGAAAAATATTATGTGTGACCAATGTCATCATTTGTAGTATGTGTAGATTTTCCCTGGTATATGTAGGATCCTAATTTTATAAATATCTATTTTGAAGCTATTTTATGACCAAATAATTGATGAGTTTCCCCATCCTACACTTTTGAGTAAGTTGTGGAAAATTAAATTCACACAGACTATCTACAGAGACACCTGATTGACTGATAACTGGATAGTCATCACAAGGCTATTTGTTTATAAGCTTATAATTGGATTATAATTATAATTTATATTTTTATTGGACACTGTTACTCCCATTTCACTTAATTTCCTTTATCAAATAAATGCTAAAAGTCATACACTGCTATATTCTGAGATATATGATCATACTGTGAACCCCGAGTTTGCATTTGCATTAATTAAATAAAATCATTTTTGGGTTATGAAACCAAGTTAGCAACTAGTTGACAGGAAGTAATCATAGAGAGCTGCAGAGTGTCTGACTAGGTTCTTTTGTTTTGATAGAGTGGAAGATGCTCTCTTTCGGAGATACCAACAAAGTGAGAAGGTCAGCTAGTTGTTACTCAACCTCCCTGAGCTAGCAGGCTTTTACCCCAGCATTTGACTCTGGAGTCTTACTGGTAAATAGAACAACAAAGACTTCATTTAAAGCTATATTTGGCAGCAGCCACAGAGCCAGGCCACAGTCTGAACAGTTGAGCCACTGCCAGGGCCGAAGGCCAGTAGCCGCAGAACTGTGTTTGTTGGCTAAACAGCAGCAGATTAAAGTTTAGTGTCTGTGCCGATGAAAAAACAACAGTGCGGCAACTCATTGTCATGCAGCGCAGAATAATCATGGCTTTATTTTCTATCTGTCGGATTTAACAAACTGCATCACTCAAAGCACATAAGCAACAACGTAGATAGGAGTTTTACTGGAGGTAAACATGTGAGTCATATAGTAGGGTGTGAATTGGGGGTCACCATTAAAGAACATCCAGTTTAGTACCAAAGTCCAGGTCAGGAGGCAAGGCCCACTATTGTGGACACGGTATACAATTTTTTATACCTTCGGAGAAACATGGTAATTATAACTCCTGTATATCAGAGACTTTCCTATGATGATTCAGTGAAACAATACACAAACTGAGTAGAAAACTGAACTGAAAATAGTGATTAATAACCATTTTTAGGTAAATTCAAAATTACAGAAAACACAATTACTATGCACACTAATGTTCTCCTTAAAAACTGAATCTAACCCAGAAGAATTAGAAGTATCTAGTGGTACAAAATGTTATTTTTCTATTTCAGACTTTTATAAATTTTTTTTGTCCCATACTCCAGCTTAGACACCCAAATTATTTGATTCATGAATAGTTTATGCAATACACTTGCCTGAGTTAAGTATTCCAACCCAGGTGGACAGTTCAGTGGGGGAGGTGGTGCTGGCATCCACGGAGCCCCTCCAGGCCCACCTGGATGACTGTACGCTGGCTGATTTTGGACAGGAAAGCCACTTGGGCCAGCACCTGGATAACCTCCTGGTGGGACTGGGTAGCCAGCTTGGGGCCCTGGATACGGACCCTGGGGCGCTGGATACGGACCCTGGGGCCCTGGATATGGACCCTGGGGCCCTTGAAAGCCAGCCTGAGGCCCTGCATAAGGATTCTGGAGTCCTTGGTAGCCAGGCTGGGATGTGGGGTAGCCATTCTGTTCTGAAGGTCCTGAAATAGAAGCCAGTGAAAAAAATCAGAACTGCATAGAAAAGTCAGTTCATTACAAGTATCCCAATTATCTAGAGAGTTCTCATCTCAGAAATCCTATCGATACAGGATTTATATGATATTGTAATTTTTATCTGTCAGAAAATATGTTCTAATAATTGGCAATGGGAGAGAAAACAAGTATGTCCACAACATAAACCTTCTGGCATTCTGTGAAGACCCAAAATGAAAGCCTGGAGCTAGGTTTTCAAGAACTCAGAACACTCCAAATAGAAGATGATTCTGGGGTACACATTTTATGTGTACAGACTCTGGAAAGAGTTTGCTCCATCTCCCTAAGGAAGAACTGAGAATATAGAGATCATCTGCCTGATTTGGGAAGGAAGATGGTGCTGTGATCTGGTGGGTGGGTGGAATCCAGGAGTGTTACTAAACACCATCCAGCTAAGACAATACATTCCAGGAAAAGAAAGAACTGTTTAACCTAAATATTATCAGACACCACCGAGAAACCCTAGTATATACTTAAAGACAAATCGTTCTTTGCAGTACATTTCAGATACTTGTTTGCCAAGAGTTTTAATACAGTGTATTCCTCTGAAATTCTTTCTGTCCATTGAAAAAAAATGACTTACAACTTTATGGTATATAGCAGCATTTCATATAAATAAAGTTTGCATGGGGATCGGGGAAAGTAAAACAACCACACTGGTCAGCCTTACAGACCAGGCAGTGGTCACACACCTTTAATCCCAGTAGCCATACTAGTTGCCATAGAAACCAGGCAGTATATGCATTTAACCCCAGTGGTGCACACTTTTAATCCCAAACCTAGAGAGGATTATAACACGGGAGGAAAGAGCACTTATACACAGACTCATTCTGTGATTCCTGGAGGCAGGATCGCCATTTCTGGTTGAGGTTAAGGTAAGAGCCAGTGGTTGGCTGCTTTGCTTTTCAAATCTTCAGGTTGAATTCCAATTTCTCTCTCTCAGTTTTTATTAATCGTGCTTCAATAGTAATAAATTTAAACCTTACTATTTATTACCATAAATACTCTAGAAAATACAGTTTATTAACCAAAGAATATAACAAAAGCAATAAGACAAATTATTATTGTCATCTTATGTGTAGGGTTTTTTTTAGATATACATATATATTTGTGTGTGTAAATATATAATATATATAATCATATATACACTTGTGTGTATAAATATAATATATACGCACCATGTATTTAGTACATACACACCATAAATACACACACACACACATACATACACACCATGTGCATGCTTAGTGTCTGTGGCAGTCAGAAAAAGGCATCAGATTCCCCAAGGCTGGATGTATAGACCATCGTGAACCACCATTTGGTTGCTAGGAATCAAACCCAGGTCCTCTGCATGGGCAACAAGTGTTCTTAATCACTACATAAACTCACTCTCCAACTCTGAAGGAACTTTTCAATAATTAGTAGCTAGAGAAAGGAGGGAATTAATACAAGTATTTTGAACAGTCTCCAGTAAGAAATTACAGTGAGTTTCTTATAGTGAGTTATTACATGGGAATGAAATACATATTCAAAGGATTATATGCACCCATGATTTCACATTGAAAGACACTTCAACTTTAATACTTAGAATCCCACAGTGGATAAATAAAACACTTCTGACAAAAATCCATGCCTCATTTAAAAACAAGGCTTAGAAAATTTACTATACCTCACAATGCTCTTTAATTGCCTTCATAATTTCTGAATATCCTAGCAAAGGGTTATCAAGAAGTCAAGGGTACAAGGAGAATGGATTCAAGAGGCTTACAGTCAGCTTTTGATACATTAACAAACAAAAATTTGCATTGCTGTAAGGGAATCTGTGAGCAAGATGGTGACACAGGAGGTGATGACTTTATGTGGCTAATACCCATCCATGAGAAAGGAAGGACGCACTGTGTGAAGGGCTGATGAGAGGTGTTGCAGGTGGAATGAAAGAAAATGTCAAAACCCTCCCCTTGAGACACACATACCCACTTTAAGCTAACTATGAGGAGGACTGAACCACTTTCTAACTCTCCTGGCTTACATCTCAAACTTGCTGGAAAACCTCCCAATGCCAGTTCTTTGGGAAGTCAGCAGAGGTTTTCAAGCCTGGTCTCACAGTAGAAAAACCTGGTGGTTCAGAAATCACCAATCCCTGAGTTCACAGGTCATCTACTAGTGTTCCTGTCCTGACACATTTAAGTTACTCTTAAGTGAAGCATGGTTGACAACTACTACATTAGAACCTTGAAACTTAGCCGGACCATATTCTTTCATTATAAGCATCTGGAAAGATCAAGTTCCCAGGGTTGGAGAGATGGCTCAGAGATTAAGAGCACTGGCTGCTCTTCCAGAGGTCCTGAGTTCAATTCCCAGCAACCACATGACGACTCACAAACATCAATCATGAGAATTGGCATCCTTTTCTGTCATGTAGGCAGAACACTATATATGTAATAAATAAATCTTTTTTTAAAAAAATCTAGAATTCCCCGAGCAGTTTCTGTGACAATCTCTTTACTCAGCAAAGAAAACAGACTGCATAACCCTTGTGTCCAAACAAAGCACCTTGATGGTAGTTCCCAGGTTGTTTGGAAAATCAGGGCAAAGCATCTACTTGGGCATTTGCACAGATCAGATAATGATGGCAATTGCATTTGCTAAATGAAAAGCTTTCCATTATTTTATGCCTTGGTTCAAAATAAGACATAAAATTCATAGTAAATGATGATATGATTCCTCTACTTTTGTGAGACATAGAAAACAAGAATCATCATAATTACAACAGAAAATTGTTTCTTTCCTCTTTTAGTAGTGGGGATTGAATTTATGTTCTCACACATACAAAGTAAGCATTCCACAAATTAGCTTTGTCTGGGCCTTATTTGTGTGTGTGTGTTTCATCTTGTGTCAGGCTTTTGTTAAATGCTTGAACTTACCACCTACCTGTCCCCTCTTACTGTGCTTCTGCAATTACGAGCCTGCATCTTTAAGCTTGGCGAAGAGTAAAGGTGTCCATTATAAGTCTCGCAAAGTGGAAACAAGAATCCTAGGTAGCTTCCAGTGGTAAGTAGCCTTCATTTATCCATTACTTCGTTGGACACAATTAATTCCCAGTCCTGTAGGACTCAAAAACACCCATGGAAAACTTCCTAATTCTCACGACATTCTTGCAGCAATTCTCACAACAGATGAGCAGTCGATAAAATTAATTCTAAATTATGTGTTTTAAGTGAAATATTGTTGCTCAATATAAACATACTCCAGAGTTTACAGCTCTCCTTTATAAGTCACCTTACTGCCCTCTATAAAAAATATCTCTATGGAAAATATATGGAACAAAAGATAAAAAAAAAAAAAAAAACAACTGTGAAGCTGCCAAAATTCCTTTAATACAATTTCATGAAAAAGAAGTACTAAAAAAAGATATATGTGTCCATCCCTTTATTTCTCTCCCTTCCAAATTTCAATTGATTAATGTTATTTTGCATCTGCAACAAGTATTTTACCTTGGAATGCTGCTGGTGGATACTGAGGGCCATACCCAGCTGGCAAATGTGTTCCTGCGTGAGGAGCCTCTGTTTGCATGCCTGCAATTCAGGGAGAGGTACATGCACGTCAGTTTAAGTATGATGTGCATTGGGAAGAACAGTAGACAGTGATGGGATAGTGTGATGCAGATTAATGAGGCACGATTAATAAAAACTCAGAGACAGATATTGGGGTTCAACCTGAAGACCAGAAAAGCAAAGCAGTCAGCCACTGGCTCTTACCTCCACCTCAGTTCGAAAATGGTGATCCTGCCTCCAGGAAGCCTCAGAATGAGACTGAGATCCTCTCTAGTTCTGAGATTAAGGGCATGCAGCCCTACTGCCTGGGTTCTATGGCAAGCTAGTATGGCTACTGGAATTAAAGGTGTGTGTCACCACGGCCTGGTCTGCAAGGCGGACCAGTGTGGATGTTTTACTTCTCTGATCTTCAGGCAAGCTTTAGCTATTAAAACACAAATGAAATGCCACTACACAGAACTGAAACAAGCAGAGTAAACTCCATATATGAGTTCTGTCTGCAAAAGAGTTAATGTAAAGGAGACTTTTGCTTCAATCACCCTGTGAAAATGGATTCATACACTTGAAAGAATGGCATGTGTTTTATGTTTTTTTTTCAAATTTAACCTAGGTAGCTTAGAAAAAAAATCATAAACTTGTGAGATAACTATCACAAAATATTTTATTTTTTATGTATACATGTAGATCCGTATATATGTTATGTAAACTTATTCACATACATTTTATTTCTCTTCAGGTACAAATGTACCAATATGCATATAACTACATGAATATATTGAGTGAAAAAGTGATGGTGCCAGCGATCAAATGAATTCCCTCAGCTGAACGAACTGCTAGCATGTAAAATAGCTCAAACATATCAAATTCTATTTCAACATCTTTAATTTTTGTTTTATGACCATTTAGATCGATACAAAATTCATTAAGAAAACCAAGCGGTTTGTCCTGAAAGTTGTCTAATATACTAATCAAAACTAGATTATGATGAGATATATATAATTTTGACTGTCTCAACAAAGATGAAAGAGAGAGGGAAAATAATTCTGAGAAAATGATTTGGCTAGTAATATTTTTTAAGATATGCAATGTTTTTCTTCTCAGAACTTAAATACAGAAAAATCTTATATTGCAGACTTGATATATTTACTTGGAACTTTCCTGAGAGGGAAAAAAAGAGGAAGAACAATATGATTAATATTACTAAATCCTAAAGGATGTGCATATTATAAAACACACATCATGAAAGTATGCATCTCTACACTTAAGAGAATGAACTGATATCAAAAATGTTATTCTTTGATTAGTATCACTAGAATAACCATTAATGTATACAAATTGTGTCCAAAAGCCCAGAAAAGTCTCTGGATAAGACATAGTAAGCTCTGCACAACGTACATATCTGTATGTCTAACATACACCTTCCTCCTTCCTCTGTGGACTTGCTGTCACTAACTAGATGGTACCACTCCCATTTGTGCCTGTCGTCTCCATGTGAGAACACGAAATAATACATTGAGGATAATAGCGTAGCAGCGAACCCAAAGAGCAATTTCAAGAGCTGAATAAAACATTACAATCAAGTAATGTCTTATCAGATGATTTTATGAAAAGGGAATATTCAACATGAATTACTTACTGTGCTTTTCCATGGTTTAACCCGTTCTGAAAACAGAATATCTGACGTTAGTCCATTATCTACAGATTTATAGGAAAGATGTGACTGCTCCAAGGTGCTCATGAACTCTGCAGGCACAGGTCTGGTCAGTCCTCCCAGTACATCTAGTCTAGCCTGATCTGCTTACTCAAGCTTTTGGGTTTGATCCTCATCCCCATACTCTCATTTTTAGTAGAATTTCGGAAGTTTTTGGCTGGTCATGATGGTGGACACATTTTTTTTAAGGGTCTTTGGAAACAGGATCCAAGAAGGAACACTGTGAAAGACACACCCAACAGGGAACAGAGCTAAATGGGCAGCCTTCACAAACAGCCCTTCTAAAAGAAGCAGGTGGCTCACATACGAATCTCTGAGCTCAGCTTTAGGAACCGTCTAACAAGATAGCAGGAGAGAATTCCAGGGCACAGCAGTGGACTTTAAAATCCAGGATCTATGGACCTGCCCTACTTGAGCTCCAAATTTAAGGTTTAGTATTCAGTTCTGTGGATTAAAAGTTGCTTCGTACTAAGGAACCTGGTTGAGATTCTCATGGTGACAGCATTCTTGACAATCCTGATGACCCCACATCTGACTACTGAAGAAACATGTTGTACAACAAAGTTTATACTTGGTCCTGTGCCCGGTAACTGAACCCCATCTTAGCTTTATCCACTACTATCAAGGTACCACATTCTGTAACTAATTACAACGGAAGCAAAGCAGACAAAAATTCTGTTCCTTAAAACTTTTATCCTCCTGAGTTAAATTGATGCCTCCTCGTGTCTGGCACACTCCAGTATTTGCTTTCCTTTTACTAGCTTCTTTACTGTGCAATTCTAAGTAATAAAGCAACCAATAAATGTGACTATATAAGTAATTATAATCAGTATTCTCGAGAAACAAATACCATCTTCTACTTCATTTCAAAATTGTTTATCACTGGCAATTTTAGGTAAAAAAAAAATCCTATCTTTTTTTGTTTGTTTGTTTGTTTGTTTGTTGAGAAGGGTTTCTCTGTAGCTTTGGAGCCTGTGCTGGCTTCAAACTCACAAAGATCCTCTTGTCTATGCCTCCCGAGTGCTGGAATTAAAGGCATGAACACTACTGCCCAGCTGAAAATTCATATATTAATGAAATACTTATTTCTAAGTATTACCACACCAGTTTTAAGTACCTTATATGCAAGATGTTCAGCAACAATCAAGTAAATCTCAATAGGTTTACACTAGAATAAATCTCAAAAAAAAAAAAAAAACTCGTGCTATCCATTTAAATTTCTCTTTTTACTTTAAACAATAGTAACATGATTTTGTATTAACTGACCATTAGCCAGCTCCAGTGGCTATCATCAGTCCTTAAGGGCAGAAATATAAGTATTTAATTTTTTCTCCAATTAATCCTAGGGCTAATTATATACTAATAAGCATATGTAATTACAATAGAGTATAAGGTTATATGTTATATCAGGCTATGTTAATCTTTCAGAGTCCACTATATGAATATATATTCTTACTCTCTCTCTCTCTATATATATATATACACATACATGTATATGTATATGAAATCTACACACACACAATGCCATGATCATGTATCTCAACATCAAATTTTCATTATGAAAGGTTATGCATTGAAAGAAATTCGTTTTCATAAAATATGCCAAGAGTAGCAGATGTATCAAATTAAAAGAGAAACCTTGGAGTAGAAAGAGGTGGTATCCTTTGTGTGTTAAATGTCCTTAAAGTTTTTACCTGCACCATTTCATTTATATTTTTAAGATTTATTTATTCTTATTGTCTGTGTTTAAATGGTTTTGCATGCATGTTTGTAGGTGCACTGTGTGCACCTGATGCCTGAAACAGTCAGTAGAGGGCTGTGGATCCTTTAGAACTAGAGTTATTGGTGGTTGTGAGACTCTATGAAGGTGCCAGGACCCAGACTCTTAACCATTGAGCCGTCTTTTTACTAACGTCCCCTATTTCTTATGGCACTCTTTAACACATTCAGCTTACAAAAGCCTATAGCCTCAACGAAGTGCAAACTTTAAGGGATTGTAGTTGTTAGCCATTTTCACCTTGCTGTCAATCAGAGAACTTTACCTTTCTTACATTTTGGTTTTCTGTTTTGTTTTGGTTTGACTTTGGTTCTTTTGAGACAGGGCTTTTCTGTGTAGCCCTGGCCATCTTGGGGCTAGGCTGTGTAGGCCAGGCTGGTCTCGAGATCTGCCTGCCTTTGCCTCCCGAGTGCTGGAATTCAACACATGCACCTCCTCCACCCTGCTCATGTTTCTTTAGATTTTGTAAATAGAGCCTAGAACTGGAAAAAATCCTTTCATAGTTTTGAATTTCAAATACACAATAAGAACAGCTCCCTCTCCATAAACCATGCAGTGTTCAAGATAAACCAGCTCAACAACTGAAGTTTGAATTAACGATTTAGTTACGCATTTTTCTTTTCATTGTGTGTATGCATATTTGCATGTGCGTAGACATGGACTGGAGTTTAAAGGGCTGGAATTGACCCCGTATCTTCCTCAGTTGCATATTACCTTATTTACTGAATCAGGTTTCTCCCTTCTAGTCTGTCCAGTCAGCTTGACTATGGGATCTTTGTTTAAAAATATTCCTTCTCAGAACGTGTTTGTTTTGGCCTAGGAATTTCGGTGAGGCCCGAAATGAATGGCATGCTAGAAAGACGGGGATTCCTAAGCCTTGTCAGGTTGATCTTAAGAATGTGGTGACATAAGGTTCTGTCTGCATAATGAGCCCACCAGGAGGACACTGGCTTCATTTGTCCTGGGGGTTAAAGAACATTTCCTCCTTGTGCAAAAATCCCCAAACAGGGCTCTCTTGTCTCTCTTTGATGTCTTCTTCTTATTTTATTTCATAATTTTGACGCTTTAGCTATGATCAGGAGGAGAACGACTCATTAGAAAAACTTCCGTACAATAAAATGTGGGTTCTTATTCACCTTGGCTGCTAACATCATCTCAAGATTTAAAATTACATGTGTGGGATCGATAGCAAATATTAGGCTGCCACTAAGACTGTCCATGTGCCACTTAAAATACAGCTTCGTGTGTCTAAGGGACGAAGGCATCTGCCCTGTGTCTGCTCATCCGAACTGCTCCCCTTAGCTGTAGAGATGATCTTCTGTCTTCACTTTAGCAGAGTTCCGTCCACACAGCTTTGAAAGTAACCCGCAGCTGTATTCCTAGTTGAAGCCTGTCATTCGTTATTCCAACCTGATGACTTTTAAATAATGTTTCCTGCTCTTGTTTTGTCTGCCGCCCCCGCCCCCCCTCCCCACCGCCCCAAGACAGGGTTTCTCTGTGTAACAAGTCTGGCTGTCCTGAAACTTGCTTTGTAGACCAGGCTGGCCTCAAACTCACAGAGACCCGCCTGCCTTTGTCTCCTGAGCGCTGGGATTAAAGGTGTGCGCCACCATTGCCCGACTCTGCTCATGTTTTTTGAAGTTTCAGAAAGTTTTAATAAAAAAAGGAAATAACGTTTATGATGTACCCAAGGGGGGGAAAGTGTGTAACTCACACTAGGGAGTTACAATTTCTCCAGAATGAATAAAGGACTTCAAGAAATACCCGAATTAATAAATTCTTCTCTGCAACTCTATTATGTGACACATTTATAGGAAACTGAAGCATCGTATACATATTAATGAAAGTAAATATAAATAAAATTATTTATATTTTCTGTTTTGTTGTTGTAATAACAAATCCCCATTTCTTTTCTGGGGTTTCTTAAATTAATGATTTTAATTAAAACATTTTTTTCTTTTAATTATCAAGGAGGTATGCATGTGATTGTATATGTATGTTTGCATGTGCGTAGACATGGGCTGCAGTTTATAGGGCCAAAGTTGACATCTGTTATCTTCATTGCACTTTAATGTGCTGAGCCACACCTTTAGCTAAACTAAACTGGAACTGGCCAATTCCATAGCCAGACTATGAGGGTCATTGTCTCTGCTTCCTGCCTGCATAGGGATTGCAGGCAGTGGCCACACCTGCTGAGTTTCTCTGTAGATCCTCGTGATCTCACCTGTAAACTTCCTGCTTGCACAACAAGTGTGCTAATCTACTGAGCCATCTCCTCAGTTCCTTTCTGATTTTTTTTTTCTTTTTTCATAATTGTAAAACATTCCCACCTGGGACAGGGAGAAACCATGAGGACCCATGATCATGTTTTCATAATCCATACACAGTACAGAAAGCGCCTGTCTCTTGGGATCTTGAAATTCCTATTGCTTTTAAAAGCATTTTGGAATATTATAACATTACCCACGCCTATAAAAAAGAGTGCAAATTATATTGAGGTTATTTAACTATAATACTTATTAAATGTCTATGAATCAATGCCTCTTAATAAATTATCCCTTGTAGGAGATAAACCAGCTCACATTTTCTCCACAGTCTAACCATCAATGTATGTCCTGACAAAATTCAGCAGCATCTCACAGCTTCAAAACCACCACTAACATCTCAAAGTGCTGAGCAGTTGAATAAGATCTCATGGTGAGAAAACAAACAAACAAACAAACAAATGTAGTAGTCCAAACAGCAAGGCAGAACCACAATAAGCCACCAAGTGAAAAAATTTTCAGGTACTTTTTTTAGTTAAATTTTTAGGTAGGCTTTATGTGTTTGGAAAGGTTTGGAAAGCATTTAACATAAACACATTTCAAGTGTTAAACTGTGGGTTTGATGGCAGTCAAACTGGGGCAGATAAATATGCACATATATTTCACAAATGGGTGCTTCAAGGTCTTGGTGAGCATTTGGGGGCGGGGCACCCCTGACTGTAAACTTGTTCAAAGACATTGCTTAGCAGTGCAATGTCCCTTGTCACAGGAAGTTTCCCTGTCAAAATCCACATCTCTATTTCATCCTCATGAAAAGGGAACAAGTTTAAATTCTGAATGAAATGCTGTAAACTTTGAAAGAAAATAGATTATGCACCAGCTGAAACCCATGGAAAGTGTTGCAGTCAAATGTTCTACTAAAATAAGAAGTAAATTTAAAGAAGCAGAAATTCATCTGGAAACCCAGTTATGCTCACTGGGTTCCTGTATGATTTCAAAATGCCCCAATGCTCTTACATTAATTTGAGATTTTTTTGAATTACTTATAAACGGAGTACCTAAGCCCAAGGAACAAAAGCTGTTGTTTAATGCCAGCCACTCAGTTCACTAACTAGCTGAATTAATGTGTTTGTTTTTTTCACTTTTCACATCTTTGTATTCTTGCCTTTGGCTCACTGAAAAAGAAAAAAAAAAAGACTTCCAACTTTCATTGAAATTTGTTAGCAAATATGAAAGCTTTGGGTTCCAGTTTATTCTTGTGGTCAATTGTTTAATGGCTAGGTAAGCTTTTTTTTCCAAGAATTTAATTTCAAAATGAAAAGAACCCTTGTTGACACACACTAATTAGAGCTGGTTTTATCAAGCTCTGCTTATTTAGTGCTATACTATAAGAGTGTGGTGTGCACACACATGCATACTTATATAAATATTTCCTGAAGAAGTATTCACTTTGTGAATATCCTGTGGTTTCAAAGGGGGGGGGGAGTATTTGTTCTGGTGGAAGCTCCACCTCAGTCCTCTTACCCCATCTCTCTCTTCCCAAACCATGCCTCATCTCAGAAGGTCCACCAAACAGGGCTTGTCCCCCAGAGATGCTCAAGCCCACAGGGTATTTAAACTGCCCCCCCCCCGAAAACAGACACATGGTTTTTCAGGCTCTCTTCCCCTTATCATCCGGGAGCGTTTTACCCATTAAACCTGACCTTTTTCTAATTCGGTTTCATTTGGTCTGATTTTGAATTGTTGCATTGGCTGAGAGGTTTGGCGGGGTGCAGAAACTTTTCAATGTTTATGGACAGTATAGTTTATAGTGTCTGTCTATACAGACAGTATGAAGTCTATATATCTATACTATGGACCATGCAAAGCTCGATACAAACACTTCACCAGCAAACCTAGGGACTGAGAAGAGATCTAAGTATATCCTGTAGAACATTGAGAGAGCCCTAAGAGAAAATAATGGCGCTATTAGAAAGGTTTAGCGGGGCAGGGATTTACATAGGAGTGGCAGTGGTGCCCTCGAGATAGATCAAAGTCACATTCAAAGGAAACTATCGTCAGCCAGGCCGTGGAGTTATGGGTGTGGGTGTGTGCAGTGAGCACTACAGACAGGTGGGAGGAGAGCAGCAGAAATTCTGAAGCTAGACTCTCCCTTCATTCAGGGGAATGAATGATCTGTGAATTACAGAGCAGAGGAGGACCCGTCTTTAGAGAGGACGATGATAGGGGCACATGAGACAGCCACCCAGGTGTGTCTCCACCTTACAGTAAACTCCTTCAAGGAGTCTGATGCTCTCTGGCCAGACTCAGAGACTCTTGTGTCTCTTACCACCCCTCTATTGCCCTGTTTGTTCTTTCTTCAAAGTGGCCCAGTTGTCGATAGCCACCAGATAGAAAGCTCTGTGGACTAAAAGAGCCCCAACCTGCCCGGCATGATTTCCTTTAAGCTCTGGTGCAATTAACCATTTAGCTTGCCAAGCTGGAAGAAAGCAGAATTGTTTGTTTTGGAACTGAGAGGTGATCAGACCCAACTTCCAGTAACAAGATTACAGAAATCAATCCACACAGGAACCAGGAAGAGAGTTGTTGGTGTGGGACTTTGCCAAGTATTTGATAGAATGAACGTTGGTTTTGACTAGATTCTTTATTCCTATATGCAACTTATTACCTGATGCCAAAGTGACTGAAACTCTTTTGTTATTGCTGTTTTGTCTTCCTTCCTTCCTCTTCCTCCCTTCTTTTCTTTCTTTCTTTCTTTCTTTCTTTCTTTCTTTCTTTCTTTCTATTTCTTTTCTTTCTTTCTCTCTCTCTCTTTCTTTTTTCTTTTTTGTTCGCTTGTTCTGTTTTTCTTCAGTCAGGGGTTTCTCTTGTCTAGCCCTAGCTGTCCTGAAACTTGCTCTGTAGACAGGGCTGGCCTGGAACTCAGAGATTCTACTTCACCCCAAGTGATGGGATTTTAAAAAGTGACACATTTTTAAGTCTTGTCGTAGATAACAATTTCAGAGAAGAGCTAGTAGACGTGAAGAAACTGGGTCAGAGTTCAAGGCTACGGTGTAACAGAAGCCTGAATGCGCAGCTAGTGGTCTTGCCCACTCTGTTCCTTACTCCCTTGTATTCCCTACTTCGGTATTCTAGAATGCAACGCACAGTTTGGGTTCTAGCCATAATCCAAGGGAACACTTTGGTTAAAGAGCTAGCAGGTGAACGATTCTTTTCTTTTCTTTCTTTTTATTTTTTAACCTTTCCTTTACTGCAATGTGAATCCATCGTGGACTCAGCACATTGAACAAGAGTGCTACCGCCGAGCTACAAGTGAGCCCAGCTTCAAGCCCCGATTCAGGGCTGCTCTGGGCTGTAAAGCAGTGTGCTAAGCTGAATAAAGTCCTGTGGGGACTTTCAAAGAAATTATACCAGTTTGGTTCCCTGAGCAACGGTGGAGACCTGGCCTCTGGCTGAGTTCTCTCTCCACTTCCGGGGTCTCTAGCCCAGGTCTTTCGGCCACTTCCCCCAGTTTCCAGAGCGTACAAAGGGTCCCCAGCCCTTGCTCCCGCTCAGCCCCCGCTCCCCAAACCTCTCGCGCCCCATTCTGGTACGCTGCTCGAATGCGCACACAGATCGCGAGCTCCGTCCTGGATGGCACAGAATGCTGGGCTCACCTGAGGCTCCTTTTATTTGGCAACCGGGGAAGCTGAAGTCAGGGATGTGATCAGCGGGTCCTAGTAGTCCTGAGTCCCAATCCTTTGCTAGTGGCGCAGCTGTAACTCAGCCTTCCCAGAAACCTCGCGAAAAGGACTGGGTGACGTGAGGGACCTGACCGCAGCCTGCTCTTCAGAACTCTCCAGCTGCTGAGGCCAGGCCGTCCACCTTCTCCGCCCCGCCCACAAGCAGCTGGTGGGTGCTTAAAGGAAGTGGGGTTTTGATGACCTTGGAAGGGAGGGTCATTCATTACGGAGGGAGAGGCCTCTTCTGGGAACTTTCCCCTGCTCTCTCAACCTCTCCAGCTATGGGGCTTCTATGCAGGAAGTCAAGTTACTTTCCTGCTTTGCATCTTTTCCTAAGTGGTAAATCGGTTACCACATCTGTTCCATCCCCCCTGATTGCATTCTCAAGGTTGTTGAAATCTTTCCCTAGCAGCATTTTTCTCGATTTTTTTTTTCTGCCTTAAGGCTTTTCTTTTACAGTCGTTTGGTGCCTTTTGGTGTTAGTGGTCTTACTTTCGTTTTCTTACAGTCTGTAGAAAATTACTGTCCTTACCTTGAACACATTCAGGGCTGGTCTGAAGGGTCGCTTGCTTATGGGAAAATCAGCGTCTGCTTTTGTACAGTACAACAGTGGTTCTCCAGTTACAGCCCAAGAAGAATCACCTGGTTAAAACTACAATTGATGGTCATGCTTTCAAAGTTTCTGATTTAGTGTGCCCGGTGTGGTACGTGTCTAAGAAAATTCCCCGTGACTTGGGAGGTACCTTTTCCCTGCCTCACATGTTATGAGTTATTTGGTATTCCCTGGGGCGCTGTGTTTATGAAACAACGATGGAATAGGTTCGCAGGTGAATTTTGATTAGCGAGTTCATCCTTCCTTGCCTGTGATTGCTGCATTTCTAAGTATATTCAGCTAAAAAAAAAAAAAAATCCGGAAATCATCTTGGGCAAGGCTAACTACTTGTGTATGTGTATATATTTCTGGACACACATAAACATGGGTGTATAGGATTTATTGTTCTTTCGTAGAAAGCAATGGTGCAAGGCATTTCCATTTTACTGTGAGCCATAAAAGAGCAAGTCTTGAGAAAGGTGAAGCTCACATATGAAAGGACCCCGAGAGTGTGGCATACCAGTTCTTGACAAATGGACCCTGAATTTACATAGCTCAAGGTAATTTCATGGTTTGAATTGACTTGTGGTTATGAACTCAGGATATTTAGCATTATTCTATACCTGATTTCCTACTCAGGCCAAAGAGGGTCCTTACTACTGTCCCCTTCTGCATAAAAGCGTTCATTTCATTTCAGTTTTATAATTTGGTTATAGTTATTTGTGTGTCTTTCTTTTTTTTTAAGCTTAAGCAGTTGAAATTTATGTATAGGTAAAGGTAACGGTGCTGAAATCATTAGCATAATCTGTCTACCAGCCTTCTTAGTGCCCTTGTGCTTCGTGTTTCCTAGGCTAACTGCCGTTACCAGGAGCTCTGAGACTGTCTCTGCCACAGGGGAATAGGGCTTCATGGGATGCAGCTGCAGAATAGTGACTCACTTGAGTTTTCTTTCTCCTCCTCATGTCTTCGTGCCTCACATTCACCTGAGGTTTTTACTTGGAAAAACTAACCTTAGTGAATGATTTAAATGTTGTGTCCCTAGAATTCATTCCTTATGAATAACAGGAGATCAAAAATAAAGCATTGAACAGGTAACCACTGAATGGACGTGTTCCTGTTTGGTGCTGCTTGTGGATAGCAGTATCCTAAGACCCAGGGTCTAGTCTCTTTAGTATACAGCTTTCTAGGTTGGTAGAGGCTTTATCATATGGTCTATTCACAAAAGAATAGAAAGGGCTTAGCCACACACAGAGGTTTGGGGGAACCATACAATGAACTGATAACACTTATCACTTCTATTTGCATCCTGTATCCTGAATGAGGGTAAAGGGTCACACAGATTACAAGAAAGGCATGGAAATGCAGTGTGGAGTCTTCTCAGAAAGGAAAATAAGGAAGTTTCCTACTGAGCAGTTAAAAAAAAATTGTACCATCATCTGGGAATTTCCACTAAAACAAAAACAAAAACTCCTCGTAAATAAATGAGCAACCAAGCATTTAAGCATATGTACTTATAAATCTTAGGTCTTTTTTACTTAAAATTATTTCCTGAAGTTTGTAATAAAAAATAATTTCAAATGAACTAGATATTTAGTTCAATGTGTTTGAGGTCCTATTGCAAAATGGAAATTTGACATTTTAAAATAATAATGTATAGAAGTACATGAAGATTATTCAGACATTTATTACAATGAGGTCATATTTATTATACAAAGAAGCTATTTATTTTGGAAGAAGAGGAATGCTAGCTTTCTATAATAGATGGCTCAACTAAATTTTAAAGGAAAAAGTAGGAAGTAGCCATGAACAGAATGCAATACTGATGTGAAGAGACACAGTGGTGTAACTGAAGAAAACTAATATATATATCTTAGCAGAAGGTATGGTATTGGCAGAGCTCCCTCAGCTTGCAACAGAGACCGAAACTCATGTTCCCTCTTCTAACAGAACGCAATTGTTACTGCGCAACGGTTGTAAGCCCTAGAAATATATTTCCTTGTTTCCGGGAGTGATTGAAATAGTACCAGTGCCATCTATGATACAGAAGCAATCTGTTACTTCCAAGCCAGGAACCTAAAAAGGAGATGTACCTTCATGGTACATCTTGATAACCATGTATGAGGAAAATAAGTTAAAGCTGCTAGCATTGTCTAATCTAATGCTGGAGAGGTGAAAAGGAGCTGTTGTGTCTAAAATCTTGTAAAGAAAACATTCAATTTTATCATGGGAGGTGGAAGACAGTGTGATCTAATTTTAAGGACGAGAGAGACACTATTAAGTCCTTGTATATAAAGAATAGTCTATGTGAAGGACCTAGTACTTGTTGGAGTAAAAAAATGAGCATAGAAGAGATTATTTTATTGACATTTCAAGACCCAAACAGTGTGAGGCTAAACTGAGATACTGAGATGATACTAGTAAAATTTGAAAAGAGTGGGCAAACATGAATATAATCAGAGCATGTATGAAAATGTCACAATGAAAATTCATCCTGTAAAATTAATATTCACTGATAACAAAAAATAAGTTGTTGGTGGTGACTAAATAAATCAGAAGAGGGAAAGGAGACTTGTCACAGGGACGTTCCTACCTTAAATAATTGACCATGCTCAAATTCCAAAAGCATTGCAAAGGAGATTTGGTGAAGAGCCAGACTGACAGAATTTGCATTCATGTAGGGTATCAAAGTGAGGGCAACTTTGTTTTTAAGATGCTCTGGTTACGTTGGCTTTTGTTTTTTTTTTTTACTTTTTTGGAGTGAGGAGTCAGCACCTGACTCACAAATTGTGCCCACCTAACAGACTACTATGTACTCTAAAATGTCACAGTGGACCATGGGTGGGCATTGAAACTTGGGCCACACCCATCCTTAAAGACTTTGGCTCCTTCTAACTGTAAGAGGGAAGATGTGAACAAGGAAGGCCATGGACAGGAGAAAAGCCTGCTTTTCTGAGACTCAATGAGGAAGGGATTTACCATAATGATAAAAGCTGTAAACTTGAACGAAACAAAAGTAGTGTGACTGAAGCAAGCTACACCTTGTAACAGTGGAAGAGGCCCGCACATAGCTGTGTTGACCACAATGTCTAGTTTATTGTGTTCTGACCTCTCCAGTTGCATAGGGGAAAAGAAGGTACAATCAGGAATCACACTGTGTAATTCTTTGCTGTAACTCAACCCTGTGACTGGATATCACTAGTGTGAAGAAGGTAGAAGCTCAAGGACCGTACTTTTTACCCTAGGGGCTCTTTCTGTTTTCTCCAGGCATAGTGTTCCTTCTAGTAATTAGGTGTGGTAAGAGAAGTGTGTTGCTTCATCTGGCTGCTGTGGGGGAGACAACAGCTACAATATTATGCCTGCAGGAGCCTATTGTGATTTTTTCAGGTTTTTACTTTGCACATGCCATTTTATAAATGGAGACTGCTTGTTTGTTCCCTGGCCACCCAGACCTGAATAACCACACAGAAACTCTGCCAATTACAACATTGTTTAGCTAAGGTCTCAGACATAGTTCAAGATGGCTCTTGCATCTTAAATTAAGCCATTTCTGTTAATTTGTGTATCGCCACAAGGCTGTGGGCTACGGGTAAGTTTCCTGTGGTATTCTTCTCTTCAGCAGCTGCACGACATCTACTAGACTCCACCTACTCTATATCTCTGTTTTTATTTTTCATCTGGCTTTACTCTGCTAAGTTGTTGCCCGAAACAGCTTCTTTATTAACTAATGGTAATAAAACATATTCATATCCTACAGAGAGGAGCCCCACATCACCAGTCCACATTCACTCAAAATGCAAATCAACAAAAGCAAGCAAAATGAATTTAAGGCCTAAGGATGCCTACTTATTTTAAAAAATGGCCAATGACTTCCTGAAATATAATTATCATTAGGTTTAGTGGGAAGTAAAAAATTCTAAGAATGAACAGGTGTTTTTTACAGATTTCCTGAACATCCTAGTCATGATTTAGTAGCTGCCAATTGATATAAAAATAAGGTCACAATCTTACTGAAATGGTGAGATGGAATCTGTATTTTAGGTGTTTAGAGAATAAAGGAGAAAAACATGAAATATAGACAATGACGTCAGAAAATATAAATACCATTGTTGCTAACCAAGTTTACTTAAACGCGATTATAAGCATTTTTAAGGCCGTTAACAATAGTTGTATGTCAATGCCTCTCAAAGCAGGAGCACTTCACTATGTCCATAAAATTAAACATTTTAACGATATTTGTTTATTTATTTATTTGTGTGTGTGTGTGTGAGAGAGAGAGAGAGAGAGAGAGAGAGAGAGAGAGAGAGAGAGAGAGCAGGTGAATGAGGAATCCAGAGGACTTTGGATCTTATGGAATTAGAGCTACAGGCAATTGTAAGCTATTAGATGTGGGTGTGGGTGCCTGGAACCAAACTTGGCTCATCTGCAAGAGCAGTACAAGCTTCTAATCTCTGAGTCATCTTTCCCAAGCCCAAATTTTTAAATTGGAAATATAAACCTTCCTGAAAAA